TGCTGTAGGCCATGCCTGTCAGTGATTTCCAGTTTTGATTCTCATGTAGGATTATAGGGCTACTGGGAAGGCCATTTACTTGGATGGAGCTTGCTCTTGGGATACTTCCTTGACACTACTTGCATCAGAAAATGCAGTCTTTTTTTGGATACAAACCTTTGGAGGAGGCGATACTTTAACGTCCTTCCTAAAACCCTAATGCTGTTCAAATTTATGCCTGGGTAAGAGAAGACCTAAACAATTGAAATGATTTTATTCCCTTCATTAGAGGATTTGGGCCCATGGTGAAGCATGGATTGTCCACACAGCTTTGGCACAACCAGACAGCCTGATCTCATGCAGTGTACTCCCAACCACCAGTAAAGTGAGTCTTCTTCCAGGTCACAAGTTGCAGCACCTGCCTTAGTGCCAGGAGCCAAGATGGGTTTCCCATCCCATGCCATCTTAAGGAGCAATTAGGCTTTCCAGTCTTCAGGAAGCAACCCTGAAACTCACAGAAATGACATAGACTAAGTGTAACTGAATATCCTGTGAGTCTCCCAATGTTGTTCGGAGTGAGAATCTGATGGATCCTCATCCAATTTTAAAGGCATATTGTTTGTATTCAATCGCAGTGGGGCTTGTTGGATCATGGCAAAGAAATTGAATTGCCAGAAGTGCATGCTAATGCATGACTTTAATGCTCTACAATCATAAACATGAGAGAATAAATTTTAGTTTTAAGCTGCATATTCCAAATATTGGAAACAAACTAAAACTGTTTTGAGTCAAAATTAACCCATTCAGGCCATTAATGAGTTGATATCAAAACTATGGCTTTGTCAGGGGCACTTGTGTTGAACAAATATGATTGAATTTTCAAGGAAGTAACCAGGTGTGTAGATGAGCATAATACAGTTGATGTGGTCTGCATGGACTTGCGTAAGGCGTTTGATAAGATCTCACATGGCAAACTGGTTAAGAAATTAAAGCACACACAATCCAGGGCAATTTGGCAATTTAGAATTAAATTGGCTTGGTGGCAGGAAACCGAGTGCGATGTTTGAAGGTGGTCTTTTTGTGACTGGAAACTGGTATTCTGTGGCATACCATAGGTTTCAGTGCTCGCACCAGAGGATGTAGAAGAGATTCACTAGGATGTTAGCTGACCTGGAGTGATTCACCTATGATAAGAGACTAGATAGGCTAGGGTTGTTTTCATTTGTTGTTATGTTGTACATCAGAGTGTTTGTGTTTCTCAATGTTTGAAGTTGTTCTTGAAGACTGAGGGGGGGTTGATTAATGTGTATAAAGACCTGAGGGGCATAGAAAGGGTAGACAGGGATAAATGTTTCCCTTTAGTAGAGAAGTCAATGTCCAAGGGCCATTGTTTTACAGTAAGGAGCAGGAGGCTTAGAGGGGATTTAAGAATAGTCTTCACCCAGAGAGTTGTGAATATCTAGAACTCTGACTGAAAGTGTGAAGTATTTATAAAAGCACTTGAAAAGTCATAACACACAATGCTACCGGTCAAGTGCTGGAACATAGGATTAGAACAGATGGTTGTCGATGACCAGCATGAGCATAGTGGGCTAATGGCCTCTTTCTGTACAGTGGAAATCTAACTCCCTTTGACTCTATTGTTAAATGAATATCAAACGAATCTGTACATGAACCACTCTCATTCGTAATGCATTTGGTGGTTCAACTTGTCTTATGCATCAGGTATACCTGAATAATTTCCTTCTGTCATGATATATGATTAATTTATTTCTCATTTTAAATTCCTACACATGTAACGCTATCATCCCGGTAAACGGTACGCTCACAATAGCAAAAGTGTTGATATCGGAGAGTGGAACAGGCTGTGTTGGCAGTGGAGCAATGTTAAACATTTGAGACGGTTGCCAGCTGCCGTCTGCACATGTACATATCTCAAACGGTATTCTGACTGTACGACAAGCGTAAAGCTTCTGATGTGAACAAAGGCTTGCACCAGTGAATGGAATTAATGTGTTACATTTACGGCAACTGTTTTATAAAACTAATACACCTTTGAAAGTTTAAGATGTACAATTTCAGGGCCGTACTTTTTCAATTAATGAGCCATAAGCAAAAAAAAGCTTGTACATGTGACATTTATTTTACTCAACAATCCAACTATTGTTAAGTGAACAAATTAAATCACCTAGATTGTTGCCTTGTGTTACAGTGATAAAGCTGCAAGAAGGATTCAATGTGGTTTCTGCTAGGTATATAGATATTGTATAAGGCCTTATAGCGGGATGCAGAGCCCATCTTTTAGCGAGCCCTCTGCCAGAGAGTAACACTATCTCCTAAACATGCCCTGTGCCTGTGAAAGTAACACGAAAAGCGCTCTCCCTGATACCGTTCGCTGTCTTCAGCCCAGACATCGCGAATTTCACAGCCAGTTCCAGCTCCATCGCCAGATAAATGGCTTAATCATCAGTGCTCACTGCTGCCAACTATCTAAGTGAGATAAGCCCATTGACAGGACAAACCGCTGAGAATTCGGATCAATAGGATTGTCAACGAGAAGCGGCACGGGCTCCTAAAATATATAAGCGTCTGACATAAAGGCCCGTGGGAGACAATGAGGAAGAGGAGGGGTGGGGAATAATCTGGTGAGATTCCAAAAAAAAGTTTACAGAAAGTAGCGCCCCATATTGCTTCTGGAATGTGTCCCTTCTGTTGGACACGTGAATAAACAAGTCAACAACAGTGAATGGTGGGAAGGGAAAGCAACATTTCAACACGGTAATCACCAAGCAATGTACACTGGAGCAAATTTTATAGTCATTAAATTGTCTAGCAGGCCTCAAACACGAATAAAAAGCAGCAAAAGTACAGCACACGACAGGTGATCATTTATTTCCCAGGCAGCTTCTCAAACTCCCAGTATCATTCGGTCTCATCCTACCATACAGTCTCGAACTGTATCCTTGACTCCTATAGTGTTATACACAGGCTGGAATGAGCGAAACTGCTTCAAACAGGGAAGAAAAAGTACTGCGGGGAAAATAAAACTTGAAATCATTTATTAAAGAAAGGCTGAGGCAAGGATGGATTTTGCTTTCCATCAAATAGCGCATGGCGCCCACGTGCACAATCAAAATGCTTTAATAAAATAAGCTTGAAGGGCCCGGCGGTTTTAAATGTGTGTAGGATCGACTTTGAAAAAAAAGCCAAAATGTCACCCCAAATGATAAAGTGTTTTGCATTTAATCTATAATTGCTACAATGAATCATTATGGATATTTAGTTTGCAAAGAATTAATTCATTGAAACCCATTAATAAGCATTGAATACAAAATGAACAAATCCCACCACGTCAGGTCTTGAAATTTTGGCTTTGAAATTTGAAGGTTTTTTTGGTTTATGTCTGAACTTTGGTGTAAATGAAATTAATTCTCCGAGGAGACATTACGTTTCTCTTATTCCAGGACTTTTTGCTATGTCTCGTGTTAATATTTATTAGACTGGATTTATTTTGTAAATGTGGTTTCCTCTTTAGGTTACACTGTGAGTCAATTTATTTGCTTTCTCTCACCGGGGAGTTGGTGTCATTTTCTCCTCATGTCACTTTCTGCACGGGTTATTCTTTTTTTACGTCAGGTTAACGCATGTTCCGCTGGTTGTATTACACTAAATTATCGAACATTAACTACACAGAACCTCAAGGCATTCGGTCCAACAGGACGATGCTGCTACTTATGCTCCCACTTTACTTCTGCCATCCCAACATCAGATCCATTTTCTTCCTTATCTGGTTTCTCCTGGGAGGAATCGATAGTGCTCACTCAGAACCCTCCACTTCCCCATTAAAGAGGTTTTCCCTCAGCTCCTTATTGGGTTAATTTGCGACTATGTTGCACATTTTTGATCCTTAATTTTGGAAACATTTATTTATTTGTCTACCTCACCGAACCCTTTGCAATTTTAAAGAGCTTTACTATATTCTCTTTTCTCCCGTGGATAAAAAAAAACAACCTCGAAAACTCTCGACCAGTTCAATTAGCAGAGATAACTGCAGTTGCCAAAGCTCATCTGGTTATGTACGAGAACACACTGAAAGATTGATTTCCTTCTTAGACAATGTTCTTTAGAGTGAAGAGATAGACCAGAGATGAAAGGTCACATTAATAAGGAAACGTTAAAAGAAATCCCAACTTTTAAAGTCAGGGTTCATATCCTGACTCTACAGGTCAGTTGGGACCAGTAATGAAGACATTTCTTTCAGCATTTACTCAGGGTCTAAAGGGCGTAGATATTGGCAAAGGAAAATCTTCCACTTAAACAAAAATGCTAGTTTTAAAAAAAAAAAATCTTTAAAAACTGAAACATTTGTTTCTTCATTCCTGATATATTGGCTCATTGGGAGAATTGTGTTAGTAAATGGAAAGGACAGAGGGCGACATATGAAAAGCTTAAACAGGCATTGATGCAAACACGTAATAATTCAGACAGTTTAAAACTTTTGAGTTTGGGTAATTTTTCACATAAAACAGAAGTTAGGTGAACCTATGCCTTGCTCTGTCATTCTATTTTTACATATTATAGCAACAATTAACTCCTCTACCTCCACGCTTGTTTCTCAAGGTGGAACATAAAACACAATTGTCACAATTCAATTTAACAAACAAGGACTTAGAAGACGGGGAAAGAAAAGATCTTTTTGAAGTGTGAAATAAGAACGGGGAGAAGAGACAGGCAGGCAGCCAGGTAATTTTTGAGAAGTATATCATGTGTGTTCGATCGGCTCGACGTGTAAAAAAAATAAAACTTGCACCTGAACTGGTAACTCCAACAAGTGCTGCGATTTTACTGAGCGATTCTGCCAGCATTCCGACCTTTCGCCGGTGTGCTAAATGCGGCTATTGGACGAAAAATCAGAGCCTCAAGGAATTAATGATCTTTTAAGTGTGAGGGGATCGGCGTGAAAGGAGTGCGTGTGTGTGTGTGTGTGTGTGTGAGGGAGAGAGAGGGAGTGAACACAAGAGGCGAAGACACGAATGAGGAAGAATGAGGAATCAGGAAACTGATAGGGGCGGTGAAGAGGGGAGTTCATTCATCCAACACTTTTTTTAGCAACAGTCCCTAAAATGCCACGTTAAGTGCCCCCGATAATTCCACTGAGATTCACTGAATCTGAGATCGCTTGGTGCAAACTTAGCAAAAGTTTAGTACAGAGTACATGATTTAATCACAAGACCCTCCCGGCGTGTCAAACAGCAAGCTCATCCTTATTTGTATCTGAAAATTGTTCCTTTGCCTGAATTCGAAGCGACTGGACTTCACGCTTCACGAACGAGGATCACGCCTGTTCCCTGCTGCAGGCTACACCCCAGAAGCATTTCCCTCTGCCTCGTTTACGCCAATCTACAACTCCGAGTCAGGGCGAGGTAAGTGCTTACCGTTAATGGTGACACTGATTCCAGTGAGCTGCAGCTCCACAGCGGTCCAGTTTACCCGTTCGAGAACAGGGAGACCTGTTGAGTTCTTGGGAACGGAATGAAGTTCAAGCACCCTTGCACTCGCTAAGTCTGAAACGGGAAAACGCCCACTTGCTGATCTCACTAACCCACGAATGTAACTCAACTCCTCCAGACCACTCTCCGGGCCCTGCATAGCTGGGGGATTCGCCAATGCTGTCTCCAATGAGCTCTCAGGTGGAGTCGAGTTACACGGTGCCATGCTGTGGGAGGAGGATGTCACAAGCTCGGTAACTGAGCAGCCCCTTCCCTCCGCGCAGTAACCTTGCCTGAGTGTGGAACAACTCTTAAAAACTGGCTTCATTTCTCTCCCTTCGCCACAAGCGCAATCGTGTACTGTGCTGAACTCCCCTTGTTTGTAACCTCTAGAGTCGTAACTGTACCAGCAGGCAATGAGCATTATCATGTAAATAGTGAAGAGAGGAGAGTGGGTGAAATTAGCTTTGTCAGCAAGCAGAAGGGGAAGGGGCTTCAACCCAGTACAACGCCGCTTTGTTTATTCAAATAGTCAGATAACATTTACTCCTCACCTGGCAGAAATACAACTGAACACGCCTGCTCTGTTGGATTGTAATGCCGAATACTGTGACTTGTGGCAGGTGCTACATGTTCGTTGTTTCTTTTGTCTCTCTCTCTCTCTACCCCTCTCTCGTTCATTCTCATTCTCTCATTCGCTCCCAACCTTCATTCTGTGCCTGCTCACATTCATCCTTTTTGTCTTTGGATATGTACATTTTTTATTGTAGATTTCAAGTTAAGAAAATAAAACGACATTCTTGAAACTTAATACTAACTTCAACTGAAAATGAAGGATATTAGCAAGCTAGAGAGGGTTCAGAAAAGATTTACCAGGATGTTGACAGGAATGGAAGGTTTGAGTCATAGGGAGAGGCTGGGGCTATCTTGACTGAAGCGTAGGAGTTTGAGGGATGACTTTATAGAGGTCTTTTTTAAAATCATGAGACATATAAATAAGGTGAATGGCAGGTGGGGAATTTCAAGACCAGGCACTATATTTTTAAGCTGAGAGGAAAAAGATTTAAAAAGGACATGAGGGCCAACATTTTTACACAGAGAGTGGTTTCTGTGTGGAATGAACTTCCAGAGGAAGTGGTGGATGTGGGTATAGTTACAATGTTTAAAAGACATTTGGATAAGTACATGAATAAGAAATATTTGGAGGAATATAGGCTAAGTGGAGGCAGGTGGGACTAGCTTAGTTAGGGACTGCGGTCGCATAGACCATTGGACTGAGGGGTCTTTTTCCATGCTCTATAACTCTATGAAAGTATTGCAGTTACTTTTTTTTTACAATTTATTAATCACTCTATACAGAAATCAGGAAAGATACTGCCCAAAAAGACAAGCTAATGAACCATATATTTGCATACATGTGTGTTGTTCACAGGAAGCAACTAGTTATGCCAATGCTACTGAACCAACTAAAGTAGTCAAAAGACAAGTCACTGAATAGGCAATTTATTAAAAACTCATTTTAAACTTTGTCTTCAAATACATACTGTGAAAAGGTACATTATACTACATCAATGTTGAAGCACCACTGAAACAAAAAAGAAAATTTTTGTATCCAACATGCTTTTAATTAGAAACAAAAGAAAACTCTAGAAAAGGACCTGAAGAAGGGTCCCGACCCGAAATGTCAGCTTTCCTGCTCCTCTGATGCGGCCTGGCCTTCTGTGTTCCTCCAGCTCTACACTATAGCATCTCAATGGGTTTTGAAGAAGGGTCATGGGCTCAAAATGTTAACTCTGCTTTTTTCTTGCTATTTTCTGAAGATATTTTCAGAAAATTTTCTGAAGAATGGTCCCAACCCGAAACGTCAGCTTTCCTGCTCCTCTGATGCTGCCTGGCCTGCTGTGTTCCTCCAGCTCCACACTGTGTTACCTCAGGCTCCAGCATCGGCAGTTCTTACTATCTCTATTGAAATGTTAATCTGATGTGAGTCAGGATATGTATCTGTGTATATACTGTACCTAACTCTGCTTACTCCTTCACATTATCCTTTATTTACATCAGTACATAGTTAGCAAATACAACTCCTTAGTGTATGTCTTAGACCTGTCTCTCCACAAGCTCATTCTCATTTGGTGTCTTCTCTGCACAGATATCAGAGCCTGTTATATTATCATATTGTCAGTTACATCATCATGATTTACACCATACCATAATACCATACTGCCCAAAAGTCAATGGAAAATATGATAGGTTCAGAAAACATTTGCCACATCATTAACGCTGAACCTATTGGATTTTCAGGGAGGTCCCCTAAATGAGTAATGAGAACTCCAGTTCTGAGGAAGGGTCACCGGACCCAAAATGTTCCCTCACAGATGCTGCCAGACCTGCTGAGCTTTTCCAGCAACTTTGTTTTTGTTCCTGATTTACAGCATCCACAGTTCTTTTGGTTTTTATCCAGTCTAATTGAGATGTGTTACTGCTTAAATATAGGAATCCTGATTGCACCCTTTTTTAGGAACATTATTTCAATGTTCATGCACTAATAGAACAAAATGTGCAGTCGCCATTCATACTTCTTTTTTACCGGGCGTTGAGTGACTTAATCATTGGGACCAGCAAAGGATGCTCAAAAATTGTACACTTTTAAATTTTTGCAGGGCCAGGAGGAGGACCAAATCTGTCCTAGGATATTACAAAACATTTTATCCCACTGCCAGCCTGACAAAGACCAAATCTTCCCTGTCTGGGATAGCTTCCAATCCCCAGTCCAGGCCTGCTTTGGGAATCGGATTATTTTCTGCCCTCGCTAGTTACCTTGCTGTAGGATAGCACCCATCAGTGTTCACAGATCTCCAGCATCTAAACATCAAGAAAGGAGTGTAGATAATGTGCCAATCTCATAACATATTGGGGAGAAGTCAGTCTCTCCGATTTCACCTGAGAAGCAGTTCTGAATTCCTCTTTGTTGTAATGTTTTATTGGAATGGTAACTGCTTCAACAGCTTCTTCACATTAGTCAATCTCTAAACTTTTGAACCCAGTGCCTACCGTTGAAATACTCTTACTCAATTGTTGGTTTCTGTTTTACATTCTTCTCTGTTCTGTTGCCTATTATTGGTCTCTCTTGATTATTCACAATGTGACAGTGCACAGACCAGACTATGAAGCCTTGACTGGTATTTGTACTTTATCTCAGAATACTTTTGAGCATAAGTCATGGCAGACACTCCAATGCAGGACTAAGGAAGTGCCATCTTCAGATGAGGTGTTAAAAGCACAGTTTGCCCTCCCAGGTGGATGTAAAAGATCCCATGGAAATATTTGAAAGAAGAGCAGGAATTTTATCCTCTGGTTCCTGAAAATAATCTATTCCTCAGTCAACAACGCAAAAACAGATTAGCACATTCTTGTCTGTGGGAGTTTGCTATGAGCAAATTGGCTGCACTGTTCCCTTCATTGCAACATTTCAGAAGTACTTAATTGCCTGTAAGTGCTTTGAGGCATCTGTGGTTATGAAAACTACTAAATAAATGTAAGATTACTTCATTTTCTTTCAGAAAAGATTTGTGAAACCTTTCTTTGGGAAATCAACTGGGTTAAGTGGAGGTGGTGATAGGTCAGATTGTATATGCACTGGGGAAATTGGGTTAGGTGGGTTAAGTAGTTTTTTTTTCTCAATTCCATTAGTTTTTTTGAAGAGAATATTTTAGTTAGATATTTCATTAAGAACTATGATGTTGCTATAGTATTTATAGTATGCACACTGCATGTATAACATAAAAACATAGGGGTTAAATGTATTTTTAAAATAGTACTTAGCATGGACTTGGGAGAAATGAGACTCTTGGTTGTCTGTTTTCTGTCAATACAGACTGGAGTGGGCTACTTGATTCAACCATTTTCTTACTCATAGCAGCATATCACCTGCCATTTTTATCTTAATTACCCTAACTTCTCCACCTCTAATAATTACGGCTGTTTCCTCAATAATAATCTATCTTCCCTCAAAGCACTTAAATTGTCAAATGTGCCCTCCTGGTATAATGCAATCCACATTGTCCCAAACTTTAAATTGGCTTGTAGCCAATTTAACTCAAATTATGTTTGAACTCCCCTGCTAAGAGCATAAACAATTTCATATTTACAATTGGGTTCCATTTTTTACACCACTATCCAACTTATCCCCAATCTTCTCAGCTGCAGGGAATGGAACTCAAATTCATCCAACCCCTTCAATTCTGCATTCTATGCATCATCCTGATGAATTGTGACATGCATGTTTTGTAAGTATATGCTTTCTATGATTTCCTGCTCAAAACTACATGTATCATTCTGTATACTTCTCTGCTTTTCTCTTCCATAACATTTATGATGGACCCCAGGATCACATTTGCCTTTTGATCACTTTTGCTGTTGTAATGTTTTGCATGACTTCTGCATTTGGCATATTATGTTTTTTTTTCCTATTTATAATATCCACACTACATTCATATGTCCAAACTCAACTACTTCACACTTCCATTCTTTGGACTACAACTGTGACTTGTCTGCCTAGTCATTCAATATATATATAAATTTACATTTTTGCACCTTTCTTTCCTATATGTGCTAAATTTGTATCACCACAATGAGTTGGGATATACTCTTCCTATATTCACATTCAGCTACTACAGACAATAATTGCACGTTAGCATTGATTCACTGAGAACATTATTTTTCACTGCCCTCTGATCAGAAAATATCCTGTTCTCTCACTTCACAATCAATTACTGCCTGCAAATTTCCTTTGTGATCTTGGGACATATGCTACATACTGACGTGCTGTTATTGTTTCATCAATACAATTTGAATGCAGGATCAGATTCTCCTTGAGGCTCTCGCTGGGAAGCTGTATCTTAAAAATACTTTTTCTTTAAACAGCACCTAGCTGT